GTTTGGGCTAGTATTAAGAAGTAAAGGCAGGTGGGGAGAGAATATGAAGAAGTAAAGGCAGGTGGGGAATAATATGAACCCAAAGACCTTGTGCTGTGGCCTTTTTTCTTTAGCCATCTTTTCTTGATCAGCTGCTTGTGTGCTGTAGAAGAGGCTGTTTATATTTCTTGTCTTAATATCCTTAACTCCTGCCATGTAACTTTCAGCCCTCTCACCTTCTCATCTTTTGCTCAACGTACAGAGCAGCCCTTGATTCTCAAGTCTCTTTCTGGTCACAGTTGTTCATCAAAAGTGGATCCTGGCTTTTATGTCCAAGTTCTCTCTGGATTTGTATCTGCTGGTCTATTCTTGTCCCAGACTAACCACAGGAATGTCCTCTGCCTTGTGCTCTCATGGTATCTCTGGATACTAACAGCAGCTTGAATTTAGCATCTTTCATTAAAAGATCTGAAGAAATTCCTGCTGGACCCAGTAAGTTGGTGATTATGCTCTTTTCAGTGTTAAGAGAAGCAAGCTTTAGAGGCCTCATGTGATGCAACCAAGGTTATGCAGGGCAAGTGGCACAGTTTAAAGGAATCCACGCTGGCCCTGACTCCTGGTTCACTTTTGTAATGCTGGTTCAAGTTGCTTCCTATCAAATCAATGTGCATAATTCTTTCTTTAGTTGTTTATTGATTTATTCAATGAATTGAATAGAAGTGTAGCACTCATTAGTTGAGATCTTTACACAGTATCTATAAAATTTAGACTCTTAGCTAGTGCATACTGGCACAGTTGAATCACATTCAAGTAGTCTAAACTAATTTACACCAGAGGTTTGAAAAGTCAATAAGGATATGAGAAAATGCCCTTCTCAGTGATAATTCTGCCTTCTTGGTGCACATGGTTCTTTTACAGTCCTAATTCTGACAAATTGCTAAGAGAAGCCAAATTAATTTTTGTTTTGTTCCATTTTTAAATTGTAATCTCTTTTTTTTTCCTTTCACAAATTGTCTGTTATTATTATTCATTATGTGTCCTTTGATGAAAAATGATACATGAAGAATGGTTTCTATTACTGAATTATTTTTGCACATCATGCTTAATTCTGCAAATGAAGCAGATAAAGTCAATGAGGCTCAGTTAAGGACCAAAACTAATTCTGAAAGCTAATTATTTTCACAAGAGAGACTCTTGAAGACTATAAATTAGGAGGCTGCTGTTCTAAGAAGTTTTGTCTTCAGCTGAGTTAGTTGCATCTCCAGGAGGGAGAGAGAAACAGGGAGAGGCCTGAGGCCAACCTGTTCCCCAGCTGAAGGTCTGACTGCTCAACTGGAGTTGCACTGCTATTTTTGAAACAGGCCAAAGTACTTTGATGTTTTCTTTTCTGCTTTTTAAACCAAAATGCATCCATGGTACCACTTCGAGTGCAGAAATAAAGGAAGGCACAAAAGTCAAAATGTTCCCTGCCGAAACCTTTTTATTACCTCAGCAACTGAGATCAACCTTTGTATGGAAATTTACTTCAAGGATACTTTAGTAATATTGCAAACAAATTATATGAGTCAGAATCACTCCTAGATTAAAGTTTGATAACTGAGGAAGAAATAGACTTGACAGAGTAAGAAGGGCAGAAGAACCTCTTCTCCAAGCTCAAAGAAAATGTCCTGGCTGACCTTTTGGTGCACAGGTCCTCTTGGGACCATGCAAGAACCACAAACATTGTCAGGTCCAGCTTTGGACCTGATGTGAATTTGACCCTTCAGGTGTGTAAGCTGCTCACTGACCTCAGATACTGACTTTCGTAAGCCATTCTGTATGATTTCTATTTCAGATAATTTTTAGAAGTACAGAAATGCATTTTCACTGTCTGAATGTCTGTTTTGAAGAGAATCTTATTTTCCACATAAGGGAAAATGAAAACATTGTACCAAGCAAGCAAACATTTTAAAAACATGTCTGACTGCATCTGTTCTTCCCTCAGAAGTGTGTGTTAGGCACCTCCAGAACTGCCTGAGGAAGGCAGATGTCTAATTCTTACTAGAACTTCTGGCACTTTTGAAGGTCTTAGTCTGTTATTCATTTTTTTCACTTGTTCAGATTCCATAAAGACCGAGGCAAAAAAAAAGCTTTACACAAAAAGCCACTAGGAGAGCATGAAATTAATTGAGCCAAGGAAATATGCTTTATACTCTGAGCAGCATGAACAGTTGCTGCCAGTTTTGACACTTTGTGTGTAGTCCTGGAACAGTTATGGCTATTTCAATCCTCTGCTGAGACACTGATGGTTTCAGGCAAAAATAATTTTAGTCTAAGATGCATTTGTACAGGATGTCATACAACTAAGTCCTCAGTCATAATCAAGTAACAATGCAGTACAGCAATCATAAACTTCAATTGTGACTGTTTCTTTCTGTCTTTCTTCCTTTTTCTTACTACTTCACTCTTACTGCCTTTCCCCTTCCCATTATTCCTTTCCATTGGCTCATCAGAGACGAATACTTGTTGAGTTTTCTCTCTCACACACAACTTGCCTGCTGGGAGGCAGCCCACAGCACCTCTCAGCTGTCATGTTCCTACTGTTTTGCCCTCTTCACTCTGGACCACAGGCAGGCCAGGGCAAATCTTACTGTTCCTTCAAGTCACTAGTGCCCAACCTCGTACCTGCTCATGCTGACTTTCTCCACATCCTTCTATTCTTCCATTTTTTGCCCAAACCCTTGATGAAACCATTCTCCAGTGCTGCTTTGCTAGCTGAAGACTCAGTTATCCATCACATTAAGCCTCTGCTTGCATAGAAGGCATCATGTATGTTTTTCACCTCTGCTGTTTTCCTGCTATTTTGTGCAGCTGTCACAATGTGTTGAAGAGGAATGACACAAAGTGGTTGGCTCTTCTTTTCTTCAGTTTACTGTCTTCCATTTTCTTTTTTTTTTTTTTCCCAGCAGCATCAGCATGTCAGAGCACAAAGAAAAATAATTTCTGCAGGGTTATGGAGGAGAGCTGTTGTGTTTGGGAATGGATATAGCCAGGATGATATTTTTCCCGTTATTTTCTTGAGCCATTAATGTACCTTGAGCCATTAATGTTACAGCTTATTACTCTACATCTGTTGCTCTGGTTTTAGAGATGAAAAACTTTTTATGTCAGGCTTGGTTATTAATATGGTCAAATCCTTAAAGAGATATATAATTTGCTTCCCAGATTTTCTCCATGTACTGCACATCTTTGTGTCACCCTTCCTGCTACTCTGAGCTCAACAGATGGCTCTTTGAATGCAGGTGGTATTTTTTCTTGCTATTGGAAAAAATATATTTAGTGCTCATTCCTGGCACCCGTGAAATAAATAGTAACTTTAAAGAAATATATTTAAAAATATAAATAAAATGCCTGTAAGAGTTATTGCCAAATTGATATTGAACCAAAGGCACCTATTCAAGTGATCAGCAGCCAGAAATGAAGTGTATGAGCCAAGAGTATTGAAAGAACCATTAAGAATGTTAAAAAAATAAAAGAAGCAGATAAATCTCGTACTGTGATGAATGATAGCCAAAGAACATCTAATCATATCTGGGTAGCATTTGCTGAAATAACTCACCCAGACAAAAACGAAGAACATGAAAAAGATTGGTGTAAAAATTATTGGAATGTTCTTTTTTTTCTGACAATTTTTCATTAATCTCCAAGAAGGAATAAGGATTTATTTGAAACAAATTAAATTAAGTGGTGAGCACTAGAATACGGTTCCTCTTGGTCTTGGTCTGGCTATAAAAACACATTCTCAGCAACGGCATATTAAGGGTTATAGGGGGTGAGTTTACATTTTTCCAACCACCTCTGCCTAATAAACCCACATGCAGAACAGTGACTGTATTCAGTTGGAAGATTGATCACTGCTGTAAGAAAATAGGAAATACATGAGATATCAGGCAAAAGACACACAGCAAACTGTCAACACCATGTCTATAGGCTTGCATTCTTTGTTTCATCTACCTAGATTTTTTGCTTTTAATGGCAATATGCCTGGAACTTCCTAGATGTAATTAAGTGTGATGTGGAGAAAGTGGCTCTGGGCATATTGTGAAAAAATGACTTTAAAAAATGAATGTTTATCAACAGATGGTACCAAAGTTTGGCTTCTACACTGTACAAATACAGATTTATGGGGTCTTGTTTCGGTAAATGCTCATCTTTTCTGTTGTGTCCTTTAAGGAGGAGTAACCTGCTTCATTTCTACTAGAGCTCTCTTGATGTCATCAAAGTTATGACAACATAATCTGGTGATCTGAAAGCTCTGTGAAATGTCTCCCCTATGAGAGTTCTCTCTGTAACCCATAAGAAGAGATGGAACATGCATTTTGTTTCAACCACATTCTGTAGTCAGTAAACTCTTTTAGATTCGAGCTGGATCTGGTACATATTTACTGATTAGGGAGCAGCTGGCTTGAAACTGAGAGCTGGATGAAATGAAATTTGCTTTTAGAACTTGAAAAATAACTGTGAGCTGTGGTAAGGACCTAATGGATTCATTTTTATTTGGTTGTATCACATGTTATGTACACACTCTAAGATCATGGAACTGGCCAGTCAACAAGGAAGAAGTTGTTTATTATGAGCAAATGAGCATTAACAACTGAAATGTTTATTTTTGCATAAATAGTACCTGAGTTCACTGATGTGCTGCTGCTGGCTGGTCCTGCAGACACTTACACTACGTGGGTGTAATATTCCTCTGGGGCTCATTTGCTGCTGGGCCACTCCTACAGAGGTGTGACAGGGCTACTTCTTGACACCAGTCATTACTAACTGTATACAAACCACTCTGTACAGAGCACTGGCAGAGGTGTCAGCTTTCACAAATTCCTTCTCTGTGAGGTGATCCGAAATTGTGCTCAGAAAGTCTGGCACCTCTGCAAAACCTTCGACTTGCACGCAGCTCTGTTCCCTACCCACTTATTGGCAATCTAAATCAATGGTCGGGAGACAAATGCATTTCTTTTTTTCTCTTTTCTTTCCCCTAGATTTCCGAATCACTGATCCAGAAACTGAACCAAAATCTGGTCCATTTTGAGTTGAAGCCAGGAGTTCGAATCCTTGTCCATGCTGCCCATTTAACAGCAGGTTAGTATCCCTTTTCTGTGTATATATTTTCTGTCTCTCTGTAGCACAGCAAGCAATGTATTGATAGTAGTAATGTGCTATTAACTGAATTTTAAACATTTCTTATTTTTATATCACAGTAACAGCGCATTGTGTCGGCAAACATTAAAATGACTGATTTACCTCCTCTTTTTATATCATGCCAAAAAGATATAGTGACTTTTGTATTTAAAGCTAACTCTTTTGTTTTCTTATGTGAAAGAATTTACTGTTTTTGTGGAAATGTGGTATAAGAAACAATAGAAATGTGTACTTTTTGGCTATCTCTGAAATATTCAGCAGGTACGCAGCACCATGGCATTTTCAGCCTGAGTCACACAGGGCAAAGGTTACCAGCTAGCCTTGGGTATGTACAGATATTCTAGAGTCAACAAACATTCAAAGCAGCTAAACACAGGTCACAGCCTGAAAGACTAGAATCAATATACATGTGCACAAAAAAAAAGATTAGGCCATTTGAACTTTAACTACTCCTCTCTAAAAATAAGTCATCTCCAAAGTCCTAACATTTAATTACATATGTCTTTGTCTATTCTGCATGGTAAGACCTCATTTCACAGCACAGACCATATTTAACTATTACAAGACATGGGACAAATTGATCCATGCTTGGGATTCTGAGGAATTCATTTTCCCCAGGAGTTGCTGATAATTCTGATCAGTTGGTATCAGCTTCTTTTGCTAACTTGCAAACTAAAAGGTTTATTTCATTTGTACTAGCAAAGTGCTCTCCAAAAATCTTTATGTGTCTGTCCAACCTGGTGTCAGTCCACATGCAACCTTGTCTATACAGCAAGGAAAAAGAAACTGTTGTTATCAGAGAAGAAACCCTTGGCCTGAATTTTCAGTGGTGACCAGAGATACAGTACATACTTTCAGAAGATGCTTAGTGCCCATATCTTAAAAGAAATGTATCTGAAAGCATCTTAATGTGAGCTTCAAAAATAGAGTTACCTGCAATTGCTCATGATTTTTAAATTTTTCTCTGGACATTTACCCTACCAATGCACATGGCTGTTTTCCATTTTGGTCAATATTTATTAAGGTCAAAGTCAAATCCCGAATGAACATTTAGGTATGACTACTCTGGCCCTGAATATGCTGTATGTCTTTTTCAAAAAAATATAGCTAGAAAGAATGATATTAGGTATTCCTGGAAAGGCTCACCTTTACCCCTTGCTACTGAAGGGACATTCCTGATTTCATGTACAGGAAACAGAGGACACTTAAAATCACTTATCCAGCTCTGCCTTTCTAAGAGGTGAGTTTGGATCCAAGTTTTCTACTGTTTGTAGGAGCCTCCTACAGCTTCTTAGAGAGCAGTTCTGGACACCTCTGCACAAGGGAGTACACAGGGTCCCCAGCTGCTCAATTTTCAGAGCTGGCTAAATCTGGGTAGCTCCAGTCCTGAAGCCACGTAATTAGTGGAGGTACTGCAGCACTTCTGTAGGCTACTAAACCTTGTCTGCCAACCTGAGTAAACCAAAAGGTAGGGTCTATCAGTGTGGCTTCCTACCATGCTTAAAACCAGTATGGCCTCCAGGTATGTGTTCTGTTTCTTGCTAGCTCAGGCTGAAGCAGAGGATACTTGGCTCAGACACAATCTTTGTGCTCACCAAAAATGCACATTTTTATTTGTATTTACACACACACCAGGAATGAGTACTTTTTGATCATAATATATTCAAACACTCATTTGTTCTGCAAGGTAAGCTTTGTTGTGCTTCCCTTTGAAGCCACTGGTGATTGCTGCAGCTGGTCTCACAGAGTCCTATAGGAACACTACAGGATTTTGTCTCTTGCAGAAGCAGGATTCAGTAAGAATGCAAAATGAGCTTGGATGGACAAACTACATATTAAAAAACCCAGAGAGCAGCCACTGCAAGGTCTTTGAGGGAATATGACTCCTTAACAAGCTGCAGAGGTCATGAGTCTGTTCTCTGTCTAAGTAAAAGGCCCAATTTCATGACATAAAAACTTGGGAATACTTTAAAATTGGACAAAAAGACATGAGAGATTTACTTATCTGCTGAAAGCTAGTGTTTTAGTTGTCAGGGAATAAGAAGAATTGTCCTTTGGAAACCCAAGCTTTTATAAAAAAATTAAATAAAATAAACATGGAACACAAGACAGCCCCAGAAGCAGTCCCTATAAAACACAACCCAGGGGGATGCACAGGGTGCAGAGGTGCTGCTCTGGTCTGTAGTATCCCTTCTTTCCCAGCCTTTTACTCTGACTTTGTGCTGAGCTCTGGCAGCTATGGGCTGTAGTTGGCTGAAAATAAAGCTGAGCATTTGTTTTTCAAAGTATTCATGTATGTATACATATGTCTGCATTAATGTTTTCATACCTCAGTGCACATGTATGTTCCTCCCAGATGATGATGTGGAAAGAAGGTTTTTCACTTCTCTTTGTAAATTTTGGCTTTATCAGTCTGGGTGTGAAACTGAAAAAATGTGCACATGTGATATGCATGCATTAGTAAGTACTTGCTTGTATGTGAGTGTTTCCTTTAATGCATTTTTCCTCTGGTTTAGGATGGGTCTGTTCAGTGCATGTGAAGTGGTGAAAGAGGGAGAGTTGTGTTGGACAGTGGTTCAAGTCAACTTTCACTGCCTTGCAGAGGAAGGCACTACCTATGCCATGTTCTGTGTGCACTGCAGAACAGTCAGTGAGGACAGTAACATCTGTGTGTTAGCTCTCTGTAATGGCACAGCTACAGCTGCTTGTCTGTCTGCAGGAGGCTGCATTTGTGTCTGTATGAACAACTGACACTACTGCACCCACGTGTGAAACTTCTTGGATGCTGATGCCTTTATGTGTGTGTGTATGAGTGTTGGAAACTCTGTTTAATACAATTCACTTTGTATTTCTGGGAAACCCACGCTTCTGGGTAGTTTGGGTGGCCTTACTTTTCAAAGGGCTGTGACCCGATGGTGAGCAAAACTCTGAGGAGAAGTACAGAGAGACTTTTTGTCTGATTAGGATTGGTTTTGGTGTTTTGTGGTTTTTTGTTTTGTTTTGTTTTTTTCTCTTGAATCTGTGCACTGCCTTGCAAGGAAGACTTGTGTGAGAGAGGTCAGGGCACCAGGGGAAAGAGAATAAAACGTGTTCAGAAGAGTAGGGAAGGGATAAAGGAAGAAAATGAAAATGTCAGAGGCGTGACAGGAGCTTGCCATGGACACAGAGGTGGTGTCTGTGAAGGGCACTGCCTTTCTGATTGGGAAGTAGCAGGACTGAGCAGAAAACAATACATTAGGTGAACATTGTTCTTTAGTAAAACTGAGGAGCCAGTCACTCATTATTCACTGTGCGTCGGGAGCTCCCCAGACTAGCACCACACAAAATAGAGAGCCAACATGACAAGTTAGCCTGTGGGTAGCTCGAGGATAAGCCAGAAAATGCCAGGTTTGGTACCCAAATGACCTCATTTGCAACTACCTTAGGTAATTGCAGTATGAGAGGGTTTGTTTCAGGCATCCTCTCATAGGACAGAAAAGGCCTCTAAGGAGAAAGCTGGACTTCATATCAAGGGGTACATTTAGCACCACAAGTGATCTGAACCTGTGTTTCTTCCCAGGTGGATTAGGAAGGGAGAGAAGGCCTGGAAACGTGATCAGATGAGACCTGCTACAAGTGCAATAAGAGGGGACAATGAACTCTATTTCTGGAGGGAGCAGCTTTCACTTCAGGCTGGGGTGACTCTAACCTTTTCCTCTCTTGCAGCTCCCCTAGTGGACCTCACTCCCAGTCACAGTGGTTCAGCTATGCTGATGCTCCTCTCCGTCGTTTTTGTGGGACTAGCTGTGTTTGTAATCTACAAGTTCAAAAGGTACGACCATCCCTGAACCATTTCCTTCTCACCATTGCTGCCTTTCACTGAGGTGTTTGGGGTATGTTTTGCTGGGTTTTCTTTTTTGGAGTGAGTTGTTTCTTGGTTTGTAAAAGCTGATGCTACATCATCTGCCAGATACCACACAATGATGGTTTCTGTTAATGTTTTAGGAAGATTCCTGGCCTTAATATATATGCACAGATGCAGAATGAAAAAGATCAAGAGATGGTCAGTCCAGTCAGTCAGAGGGAAAGCATACCTAATGTCCCTCAAAGTGAGCTGATGAGCCATGAGCAACTAGTAGATGAGAAGTTGGAAGTCCACCCCATAGGTAAATAACTTGCAGCATCCTCCAGCTGGTCAGACTCTGACTTATAATTGGCTAACCTTTTTCTCAGCCTCCCCCCTTCCCGTATTCCTGCACAGTCCTCCTCCCATCCTCTTCTGCTGCAACATTAGTTTTGCTACAGGAAACCTTGCTAACTCTTCCCTCTCCCTCACTGCCATGTGATGAAAGGGAGGGGAACAACTTTAGACTTTTTCTCTCTCCTAGTTGCTCTACGTAGATCCCCTCCCCTTCTCAAAAAATCCTGCTGGCAATGTAATTTATTTTGCTGGGGCTGATATAGTTGCGGGGCTAAGCCCCACATCCAGAAGAACTTCAGCCACCCTCACCTGGAACATGGAGGTGAGCAGGTGATTTGGTAAGTCATATCTGAAAGCTAAATGTCTGTTGATGTTTTGACTGCTGGGGTCTTTGTGCTATGCCAGACCTTGTTGCCACCAGCAATGCTAGTCTGGCTGGTTCACAGATAAATTGAGCAAAACCTGGGATCTCAGCATTGGACATCTGGGTTTGCCCACAGGCTGATTTCTCCCACAGACCTCTGTGGTTGAGTATTTCCAAAAGCAGGCTTTCTTAGGACCAAAAGTAAACAGGCTTGTAGACGGCATTCTGGAATCAGTCACACATTTGCTCATACTGACAGGTTATCTGTTACCTTGACTACAGTAGAAGTGTTGGGCTGGAGCAGGGAGGTTTCAGACATGTTCTGCTAAAGCCAGCATTGCTTGGGCATTGCTCAGCTTCACTATTCATGATGTGATAGTTCTGCAGGCCCAGCCCAGAGGTACAGCACAGGACCCCTGCAAATAAGGACATGGAGCTATTTTAGAGGAATTAAAGGGAAGAGGCTACCCAGAGATGTTGTGGAGTCTCCTTCTCTGGAGATATTAAAACCTCTCCTGGCCACAATCCTGTGCAACCTGCTCTGGGTGAGCTTGTTTTAGAATATGGATTAGACTAGATGTTTGCCAGAGGTCTGTTCCAACCCCAACTATTCTGTGATTCTGTGTCTTAGACAGGAGCAAAGCATAGTTGTTAACAGAGATCCCTTATTTCCACAATTTCATCAGCTTAAATAAACCTTAGATCTCACCTGAGGATTCCCTAAAATGTATATGACTGTTTGCTAAAGTAGGTTTGGAGGCATATCTACTATAGAGAAGGAGCAAGGTAAATGGCAATTAAAGGAGGGAATGTGGTGTTCTAAGATTGTGGCCTGTGAAACAACATGGGAGAAAAAAGAAGAAAGAGTCTTGATGAAACTGGTGTCTAAGCTGGAAGCTCCACTGCAGTCAATGCTGATCTCTCCTCACCTGTCCACTAAGATCTTGTAGCTATTAAAAGTTTTTAAGCAGATGTTCATCAGCAGACCTGGACATCCCTGCTTAGCAGAGCACAGGACGAAGTGAGGGACCAACCTTCCCATGTGGTATTCCCCATACAGAGCAACCTCAGGCCACAGTCCAGAGCCCAAGGAAAGGAAATGCAGCCAAGGTAGTCTGGACAGAAGACTTCCAAAAAGCTTGTGGATCACCAAGAGGTTTCAAGCCAAGACCGGGAGTGGTGGGTCCTAAACTTTAACAATTCTTTATTATGTTTTTGGTTTATTTTTGTTGGTTTTTTTTTTTTTTTTTTCCCCCCCAAAAACCTCCGAGGTAAAATTTATGTAAGATGCTAAGGGAGAAACACCCAATTTCAAGTCAGGAACTCTCTTTCTACAGACAAATGGGCTTTGAGCTTTGAGCTTCCCCTTTATAAAAGAATGTAATGGTGGTGGTTCGTGTTGTTCCAGAAGCAGGAAAAAACATGTTTTCATGGGTCATTCAGACTGAAGCAGCAAGTGTCAGTCACCTGCTGGTCAAGATTCATTCAAAACTGCTTTTGCTGGTGTTGGAAATTTAAACCCTTAAAGCCTCCAGATAAAGAGAAGTCAAAAGCCAAACTTTGGGGGTAGGTTTTCAATTGGTGCAGCTATAGAATTTCTGGCTTCCTACAATAGCCAGAATTTTATGCGTTTCTCAGCTGTGCTAATGGACACTATTGAACCAGAAATTGGCTTTTTACAACTCCTTGGTCTGCACCTGTAATTGCAGTAACGAGCACAAAAGTTAAATGTGTGGGATACATAGACTCAATTATGTATCAAAAGGAATCACTCCACCAAACTTCCTAAGAGTGTTTTTCTATCCTGTCAGTAAGATGAATGAGAAAACTTAGTCCCAGCTCATTGACAAAATGAAGAGGTCTGGACCTAGGTGTGAACAGAATAGAAAGTGCAAAGGCTCTTCACTCTCCTATACAACAACCCCATCTGTTCCTGGAAATCAGCAATTTCTTTTTTAATGAGTTTTCTTTCTTTTGGGAAAACAAAGCAGGACTGTAATTGGGTGTTTCTCTTTTGTATGCTTGTTCAGAAACCAGTTTTTTGAACACCTTTGATTAACATTCAGGGATCCTTCCTTGGAAGAATCTGAATTAATGTCCCTGAATCATTTAATTTTCTCTCCAAACTCTGGCAGCAAAACCCCCCCACATTTCTATTTTCTGGATATGAGCAAATGCAAAGCTTAAGGTTATTTATGAAATCTCCAACACCTTATCATTGCAAATGAGGTTACACATTTCCTCTGAGGACCTCAACCCCTCCTTCCCTCCACACCTCTGCTCTGGCCTCTCCCTCTTCTGCTCAACATGGATGAATCATCTTCATTAGCAAAAGAACAGGACATAACCTCCAGTGTTTTGAATGACAAGAAAGATTTCTGGGAAGAATGTGCCAGTCTGGAACAGTTGAATCCCAAGGGCCAGCAAAGTGATACCTTCAAACATCTTCCTTGGCTAAATATGCTTGTTATTTACTGAGTCTTATTTTTTTCTTTCTTTGTCACAGGAAGTATTTCCACAGCTGCTGAGTCCCAGAGCACAAAAGAAATCCCTACCTATGTAAATGGTTGAATTGAGGACACCAATATCTGTATCTAAAAAAGGAGGAGAGCTCACTACATTTGGACTTTTTAATTCTTCAGATGACAAAGGGTTTTTAGCTTTAAGCCTGTGCATGTGGACATTATACTGAGATCATAGTGGAACTGCATTGTACAGGTGTTCAATTTTAGTGGGGGGTGGGGGGAGAGGAACTGGTACCACTATTCACTCCTGCGGCCCTTCCCCTCACCCTTTCACTCTTTTTCTGATCTGTCTCTAATTTGTAGAAAATTCATAATGATATAGGCCAAGAATATGCATGGGGGTCTCTTCTTTAGGGAGATGGGTGGGCTGGGATGTGGGGGGAGAAGGGCTGGGAAAGTGGGAGGGAGTGTTTAGGGTTCTTGGCTTTAGATTTAACTGCTCTTTTAGCACTTTGGGCTGCGGGAGGGTTAGCCACCCCAGCAGACTTTCATAGGACACACACAAAAAAATCGCACTGGAGTTTAAAGGCACTGAAAATATTCTTGGTCAGTCTGGTTTTGTCTTTGTTTGGACTCTGCCCTTCGTTCCTCTAGCTGCAGCTGCTGCCTGTGCCCTACGGCTGCGAGGAGGCTGAGTGTGGATGATCCCACCCACAAGGCCAAGCTCTTTCTTACACAGCTTTCTTAGCCTACTCACACCAAGGCATCCCACTGATAGCACCATGGGAAGATAACTTTGCCTCCTAACCTTGAAGAGAACAAGCATGCATTGCAGGCAGGGAGGGAGGTCTGTCCATACTGCAGTTGCAGGTTATTGCCAGCAAGAACTTACATTGTACTTTGTACCAGCCTTACACCTTCAATTTTGGCTAAGGCAAAGCCCTAGCAACACCGCCAGCTCCACGTGGTGCTGATGGCTGAATTTGTCTGGGAAGTTCCAGGAGATCTCTACATTTTTGGAGCCACCCAAAGGCCTGTCAGTTTTTTGAAAGACACCATGTTCATAGAACAGGGAGCAGGGAAAGGTCTGTGCACAGTTTCCTATGGCCATCTTTGCATCCCCAGTCGCTGACAAACTCCTGCCACTCTGGGCAGAGGAGAGAGAATTTGGCCTGAGATTGTTACCATGCGTTTTGAGCCTCAGCACCACAGGACCACTCCTACATAAGATTTGATTTCTTACCAATAACTTAAGCTGGTGTCTTACACTGCAACTAGAAATGAGGCTTTAGGACATGTTCACGTAGACTATGCCAGGGAATAGTGGGAAAGCAGGATTAGCATACCTCGAACAAGTCCTCCAAAGACACTGGATATCTGGCTGAAGCCTAACCTGTGGTCATTACAACTGTTGATTTCCAACCCAACTCAGGTTTTTACCTATCACCAGGATTTTGCTTTGAAGTGTAAATAGAGAAAGATGTAACTAGTGTACACTTGCTTAACTATATTAGGTGAAGGCAAATAGAGGCCAGTTCATAATCAGTGTGGCGCAATTAGGAGGCACCCTGATTCCTGGCATGGGTGTGTTTTGTTCAGTAGACCTTGTACATGGCAACAGGAGAAAGCAGCATTGTCAGTGTGGCCCAGATTCCCGGAGCAGGGTTTGTGGGTGGTGGTGGGTTTGAATTTCTCTGTCTCAAACTGGGCACAAACCTAAATCAACCTTCTTGCTGGCAAATGAAAATGATACCAAGAACTTTAGACCCCTAGTAGTTAATCACAGTATAGAGTCCTCTGCCTCTTTCTGTAGTTTCTCTGAAGACAAGTAGAAACACAGCAGTTTGTATGGCTTTGCTATTGTCTTTGCAACTACAGCTTTAAGAAAGATGGGAAGGTTTTGGCTGCAACTGTATAATAGTCCCCACTGAAGTCCAACATTAGCCAACTTATTTTTATAGTAAGCCGATCAAAAAGTTTTCTTATAGTGTTGGAACTATTTCTAATTTTAAAATTACTTTTTTTGATGTACTTTTTCATCTTCTTTTTCCCTTTCGTTAAATACGATGTAGCGTAATGTATAATTGCTATTGTTTATTGCTTTTACAGTCATATTTATTAAACAGATTATGTCTCTAAATGAAGGCCCATGTTTTTGTTGCTCATTTTAACTCTCTGTTTCTGACTGGGATCACTAACAATATTAAAACAGTAGGAAGTGGATTACTTCAAAAAAAAAGGAGTGTCCAGTAGAAATGGGAGAGGGTGGTGATAAGTGTCCTCCTGAAAATATAGTTCCTGGAAGCAAGATGCCAATATGAAAGTAACTTTCTCAGTCCTCAAAGTGCTTTATAAAGTGAAGCTTGGTCCTGTTATCTCCATTTTATAAATAGGGAAGCTGGTGGGGGGCTGAGGTGCAATGCTGTTTTTCTGGTTCCCAAACAAGGAATGGTAGAGCTCTGAGCAGTTCCCTGGAACTCCAGCTAAGTTCCCTGGTTATCCTTCTTCATACACAGTCTCTGTTAAAGGTTCCTTTAAAATATCTTTTTTTGATAAACTTTTGCCAGAACTGATGAAGGAAGGTCTGAATTAGTAGCATTACTGATTAATTTACATGTGAATAAAATAGGGCTTAGGCAGTTTCTGTCAACTTGCTATATGGCAGTGGATGCATGTTGCTGAGGAAAAAAAGAAGGAAGCTTCTCTGCTTTACAAGTCAGGATGCAACCACCAGATCATTCTACCTCTTGTAACTGGATCCTGGTTCAGTTCTCCAGTTTTGTTGTACCTCAGCATAAGAATTTATATATGCACATAAATAGTCAGGTATCTGGGGCTCAAGTGTCTTTAACAACCAGGACTGTGGTGTGACATATTACAAGTCCAGGAATAATGAGTTTGCTCATTGGAGGAGTGTGTAGTTTTCACTCCAGGCAAATCCCAGTGTAATTAAAATTACTGGCCTAGAATGTTCTAGTGGGTACTGCAACCTTCTCAATCCAGGCTGGAATGGCCACAGTGCAAGTGACTCAGTGCTGTGTGTATAGGCAAAATCTGCTTTAATAGTTAAAGTGCCCACCTGAATTAGCAGGCATCTGTTCTGACCATAAGCAGTAAGTCTGGTTTTGGCAAGCATCTCTCTAAAGCATTTTCAGATCATTCTCTTCAGCTTGTTGTGTGTTCTGAGGCAGAAACTGATTGTTATTTGTGATTGTTGTTTTCTGGTTTGTATAACAACAGAGCAATTCACTGCTAATGGCTGAACACCGAGATAATAAACAAAGAATATACCAAATACTTAAAAATCCAATATGAATTTTCTCTTGAGAGAACAAAAAAAAGTTCATCATCCTTTGACAGAAAGAGCAGAGAGTTAAAATATGGTTAAAAATTCGAATAAAGTATTTTCCTAATTTGATGTTGATTCTCTACCATCATCCTAATTACTGTAAAACAGACATACAGATGACCAGACATTGGCTTCAGAGGGACTTATACTTCTGCACGTAGCAGTACATTGGGGCTAAGATGCTGGATTGCTTTTCATGAAAATCAGTAGTTGTTAGTGTTCAAATACTGGGCATCAAACAATAGCTTGTTCTTAATATGTGGCTGTGTTTAATTGCCTAAGCTTTTGATGGAAAGTAAGACTCTTGAAGTACTTGCTGAAATACTTATGCAAATGAAGCAGGAATTTCCAGTGACCCTAAATGAACCCTGTCTTGGTCCTGTCGACTTCTGCTGAGAATTTCTGACAATTGCATTTAGTCTGGTACCTAGAGCTGATAACAAGGGATTAGTATTTTATCTGTGTGCTGTCACCTCTCATTGAATGCATGAGAAGTTTCCATGTCACATTATATCTCTAGGTACATTCAGTGTTTTAAACATTACCCCTGATTGCAGAGCTCCCATGTTCTTGATGTTAAAAAAGAAAACTTTATTTTCCTTCAGTTAATGAGATGCTGTCCCTGCATTTCTCCATGAAACAGAATCATAAAGCATATGAATAAATAATACTTGAGCTAAAACAGATCCTTTTAGTTTAGAGTTTTGATATGATCCTGGCCATAATACCCAGAAGAAAAAAACTGAAGTCAAATTGTTTTCTAATTGCTAAGATCAAAGTGCTATCATGTACCAAGTCATTAGGCTAAGAGATATATTTCATCTGCAGTTTTAACTTTAGCTTTTTCTTTTCCCTTTTTTCCTAGTGGGGAATGTGTCTGTCTCTTACTGTGCTGAAAGAGGGATGCAAGGGAAATCTGCTTTATATATTTCTCAATGTGAGAATTTCAAGATGTCTTACTTTTTGTTTCCATTGTGGTGCAGCCACCCCAGTCCTAGGTGCTGTACACACCTTGGCAGTAGAGGTGAAAAAATACGGGAACAAGTTTTCTCACCAACTCTGTATTTCAGATTGTGTCCCACATTGTAACCAGACCTTGAGACTCAGCACTGGAGAGCTCTGAATGAGATGGACAGCCCAACATCTAAACAGTACAACTCAATATGGGATTAATGACTTGAACACTGGAGATGCAGAGACACTTGAGAGACCAGCAGCCTTCCAGGGCAGTAGCTCCATGCTGTTCTGTCTGTGCCAAGGCTTGCTTTCTGCTGGGATAAGTTAGAGATTTGAAGTTTGTGCTAATTTATGTTCTTTTCTACAGGAAAGTTATGAGCTTTTGTTAGCAGGGAGAGTAGCATGGCTAAAATACTTCTAGTCAAATATCTAACCTTGACTCTGTTTGGGTTTGTATAATAACCTCCCACCAAGCTGTAGTAGCCCAGCCATGTGTTAGGAGAATAGGAGCCTGAAAATTTGTATTCCCTAAACTACTCTGAGGCTGGAGCACATCCAGTATCACTGACAGTGGCCAGGATATTGCTTATGTTGTGCTTCATATTCAAAATAATTGTATAGAAGGATTCCAAACAGAACCATTAGTCAGACATGTGAGATGCTGTATCCACCAAATTTGTGAGAAAATAAACTGGAATCCCAAAGTTGTTTGGGTTTTATAATCTTTTGTGGAGAAGCCCTTAGAGACAAAGGTGCAAGAGAAGGAATGTAGCAAAGCTCTTGAGAGTCTTGACTGCCTGCCTATGGTACAGCACAGATGCAAGAAAAAAACTCCCTTTTTGTAAGGAATTCCTCCTCCAGCCTTCCCTAGACAAAGCTGAGTATGGTGATGTTTCTGTGACTCCAGCTACCCTGGCAAATAATTGCTCCCCAGCCCTAAAGCGTGGGCCACTGGTCCCATGGACCTCATCATTCCTTATTGTGCCCCCCATGAGGCAGCTGCAGGGCAGAGATCTGAAATGCAAATTGGACTGACAGCTGCCTCTTCTTGCTGCTGCTGCAAAGAGATGAATAATGCATACATACAGCACAAATAAATGTAGTGTTTCAGAGAGAAAACCTTTGACTATTAACCCTGACTGCATGAGAGGAACATCCTTACTTGGTTCACTGCAGTGTGGGGCTGAACCTGTATCTCCACAAGGGTCTGGGATGCCTCGTGTCTCCATCATCTCTGCATTTGGGCTGCACTCCAGGCTGAGGGTCCCTCCTGGGGCTAAGGCAGTTTCAGTGCAGAGTCCTGCTCTTGGCATTTTGACTAAAGCTGGAAAATTTCCCTAAAGTCTGAAGTAGACTGCTCATTTGAAGTGATCCCTGCCTGGTGTCACCTCAGGTGAGTGGGTAAGACTCAGCACTGTGGAGAGTTGGATACTGCACATTGTGTGGAATATTTGCACCAGATATTTCACAGCAAATAACTTTTTCCCACATTCCGCACCTGCCTAGTCCCAGGGAGAATGAGATTCAATTCAATGAGATTCAAATCTCTGTAATCATCCTTCATGCTCCTCCGAAGCTACAATAGGCCTACAGCAGACCTGAGGTTTCTTCCATTGCTTCTGTGGCCTGATATGCGAGGTGAAGCTGTTTGATCTGATCTGCAGTCCCCTAAACAGCTGCACCTGTGTGTGTCTCTGAGAAGTGATTGCTCAAGAGATCCAGGAGAAGCACTAATAAATGGCTATAGAGGAAAGCTCTGTAGTCAGTCTGCCAAGGATGCCCCATCTACATGGACTCATTTTTCATTACTAGATTGTTTTTTCCCTGTTCCTTCATGCCATGTTGACCTGAAAGCTGACCACATTGCCTGCTGCTGTGGGCTGTCCTCTCGTTCCATGAGGGTACCCAAAGACAGCCCACTGCCTTCAGGTGGCCTTGGTGTTTATCTGCAAAACAGAAGCACTTCCTTTACAGCAGTTTTTAAGGTTCCTCGGACCTTTGAGACAATTACAAGAAGAGCTGTTTCTTCTAAGGCACAGCAGGGTTATTGGAGTTATCTTCAGGGGAAAATAAACACCAGTTTATTTTCAGCAACGCTTTGTTGCTGAAAGTCCTTAAGCACTCTGTGTGTGTCATGATGTTTGAGGATTACATTTAGCAGCTCTTAACAGGAAAGAAGTTATGATCCATTCATAACAATCTATTTTGCTTTCCTATTAATCTAAACATTTTTATTAATTAAAAGCCATGATTCTTTTCCCCTTAATTACTGCACCTCTTTTTTTCCAATTTCAAAGAATGTTCTGGTTTCAGGGAGAGAAAATTTACCTTCAGTTCTTAGTTTTGCTTGAACTTTTCCTTCATCTGTATAATACTTCTTCTAATTATCCTTTTTTAATTAGGTTGATAATGCAGAAGGCAGCTAACATTATTTTTTCACTTGTTTGAACTAGATTAAAAAAATAGATTATTATATTGTCTTCCTTTTGATATTCTGATTTCCACATTGTGCATAGCAAGATACTAACATGAATTTTTTCAAAACCTGGAGAAAAGGAAAACCTCTACTCTTGAGAAACAAATAGATAACAAGGACAAGTTGTGAGCATTTCTAGCTCTGGGGTTGAATACCATTTTCAGATCTTGCTCTTTTCACTAATATTAATGAAAAATCATGCACAAATTAAATGATGGAGAAGCTAGGACTTGAACACCTGGGGAAATAACAATAATAATAATAATAACAACAACAAGTACTACTACAAAAAATTGCAACAATTTTAAAAGCTCCCCTTTTTCTCCTTTTTTTCTTTTTTTTACTAGATGATGTCTGAAAAAGCATTAACATCATGTCTACAGAGAATCTCCACCAGCTATCTACAGACATCTGCTGGTTGGATTAACTGGACATTAGCTAGCCTTTGATTTTGGCATCTTTGAGTATGTGAGTGCTTTTCCAAGGGACTGTAAAGTGTACACTTAAAAGGAGACTTTTAGAAGCATACCCAGTGTGTGAATTCTAGTCATATTTTTCAAAGAAAATAGGCTTTATTTTTCTTGAAGAACAGAGGAATTTAAAAGATTTGTTATAAGCCCAGCTTTGAGAGTCTCTCAGTTATCAAGGCCCATTCTCACACAGAATTTGGCATCAGATCTGAAAGGTAAAATTATTTATTTTGTAGGCATTTCCACTTGCATGGACCTTCTTTACAACCTCATGCTGAATGTTTGAACCCAGGATGGAAAAACTTTAGAAATAAACTCCACTACTCAGGTGCTGCATGATACAGGCACCTGCAAAACGAAGGGGCCTTCAGGGAAGGAGACTGTCCTGAGAGCTATCTTTCTCTCCTGAAATCCACAGGAGTCCCTTTCCTTATCATCATGCTGGGTCTTGCTCAAAGCAATGGCCTGAGATGTCAAGGAACCTGATGTGGTGGTTCGTGAGGTCACTTCCCATCCTATGCCCCGTGATATCTTCTCCAGCCCCCTTTGTCACAGGCATCATAACTGAACAGTTCTCAGTTGGGAAAGGGGCAAAAGGCAGGGAATGGTGAGAGTAGGGTTTGTGACCAAGCTGTGTTTCTGTGTGAAGACTTTTGCTTTCCTCCTCCTCGTTGTGGGCAGCTGCACTGATAGGGAGCTTTGGGAAGGACTGATGCTATTTTAGATAGCTGTTGGCATGAAGCCAACCCTGGAGGTGCTGCCTAGAGTTCAACACCCTGTGTTCACCTACCAGAAACTCCATCAGCTAATAAATTGTGTCGCTAATTTCCAAACTGCTAGAAAGTCTCCTCCACAAGACTGTTTTGAAAGGCTCCTGCCAAGAAGGTTCCTCCTGTGTCTTTCCAAACTGACCCTCATTTATTGACACCTTTTGCTGATTAATTGCTAAGACAGCAATGCTGAGAAGTGTTATGCAAAACCCTCTCCTCTTACATTAGAAACACCTCACTGCTGAGATCTCTTTTTTTAAATGAAGTGACATTGCAAAAACTAAACAACCCCCTAAACAATCTCTTACATTATTTTCATAAAAATATACTATTTTATGAAGAAATCATAAACTGTATTTCTTTTTAGTCAAACAGTTCCTTTTTTTTTTTTTTCCTGTGTCAGCATCTTAAAGCTTTTTAGAAGACACTTACAACAGAGGAAAAATAAAAGCCCATTTCCCTTTATCAGAATTTTACTGATAAAGATTTCCAGACTTCCTTCCCTTCTGAATCTTGTTCAATTCTAAAACACCAGCATATTAGCAGTTTGTAGATTTTGAGATAAGTAATACCATCACTATAAATAATATTTATAATTGCAGCCAGAAGGTTCCTCCTAGAAAAAATGTTTATGAAACCTGAGGATGATTATTACCAATTTTTTTTTGTTTGATTGGAGTTCTCAGTGGTTGCAAACATGGTCCTGATTATCATATTAACCAGTAGGTGCAGTAATTACTGAAACACAAACCTGCAGATTACTACTGTATTGAAGTTAGTAAGAATCCCATTCTTAATTAACTTCACTGGAAACTTCCTTAGCCTGAAGATTCATAAGTAGATCTTGTTTTTAAAATCCCTCTCAGCCAAATAATCACTTAACTAATTTAAAATTAAGTATCGTAGCAGGATATTTCTCACGGATTGCATTTAAATTTTACTATTATATCATCTAGGGAAATATGTTTTTTTCCCAGCTTTGAAAAGGGTGAAAAAAGTAAACAAAACATTTT